CATGGAGTTTGGCCTGTTTGTAAAACAGTACATTTAGTTAAGAATTCCAGGTCTTCTAACACAACACTGTGTAAAGTATTTCCCTCTGTGATTGTGCTTAGCCTAGGCTAGCTAAATTCTAGTAGGTTGCTGCCTTTCTAAATAAAAGATGAGCATACCTTTTTTTCATTTCAAATGCTTTTGTGCTACGATCTCAAAGGCAGTTGAATTTCTTTGCATCGTCCCCTAGTTACTTTAATTTGTGCACAGGAAGGATAGCATTGCATTTGTAAATGAATAATTAAAGCATCTCTGGCTTTGTGCTGCACTCGCTAGGTGAGCAGCATGATGTGGAGTGAGAGGTCTGAAAATAACTGACTGGACAATACAGATATTAAATATAGCATGAATTAGTGCATGTAGGTATGTGGTAATAACCCTGCATCTTTTTTAGTGTATCTGAGGGTTATTATTGGTGTTCTATGACATTTATTTGAAGATGTTCATGTTTTCTGAAGAGTCTGAAACTTTTTTTTTTAAAGAAAAATCATTAAGTGACAGGTAATATTTTTCTATTTGAGAAAGAGATAGTAATTCAATGTTTAGGATGAAGACATGGTAAGTTTCCGTTTTCTAATAATTATCATTCTAGTGATAATAACAAAAGTAAATTGAAGTTAATTTAATACTTCTGTAATGAGTTTAACTTACGTCATTTCCATAGCCAGCAATTCAATTAATCCTGATAGCTTTGTAGTATGACATTTGTTCCTTTCACATTTGTAAAGCTCTGTTATGTTGTTATAAATTTAAACATTCATTGCTGTTTTTCCTTAAGAGTTGAGGATAATTATGAAGTCCAAAAAGTAGGATGTTTTTGAAATTTGAGTGTGAAAGATGACGAGTGAAGAATTGCCCTTCTGCTGCTATGTGGTTCTAAAAGAAACTGTGGGGAATCTCAGAGCATTTTAAGAATGCTTTTCACTCCACAGTCATTGCCCAAACCAATTTTGAATTGATCACAAAGCGTTTTGGATCAGCCTAATTGCTGTGATGAGTGTGGCATGGATGGATTTTGCATGGAAGCATATTTTTTTTCTTCTATTTACATAGTATAACTGGTTGAAATGTAACTTCAACTGGGAGAAATTAACTGAAGGGTTAGTGTGATATATAAAAAACATTTGTTCACAGAATCTGTACACATTTATATGTGGAAAATTGAAGTACAATTTTTTTCCTGGCTACATAATGGTATTTTTCTGGCTATATATGGTATTATAGTAAAGGCTTTGACTTGATGATATATTTAATCTGTGAACAAGCATTTTAAAGATTCTTTACGTGGAATCAAATTGAATCTACAACATAATTTTTAAGTCTTATGTTCATGCTGATTTACATGCGCTATTAGTGAAGCAGCAGCTAAAGTTACATCCTTTCCCTTTTACAAAGTATCAGCCACTGTTTTATTTCACTCCAGAAAGATGTCATCAGATACAGTGTTTCCATAGAGAGCCACACAGTTTGTGTACAGACTGCCTTTTAACTAATTTGTATCCAGGAAGCACTCAAGAAAAATTAAAAAGCATTGTGTTTTCAAGCTACTTTTCTAATAAGGTAACAGTTAATCTAATTAAAGAGAACGTTCCTTGCCCTTTATTGTGAGTCATAGGCTCATGGAATTATTGGATTACTGTTGTCTCCTGCTCGGTGCATCTCTGGTGTTGAATTTGGGCGAAGTTGCTTAGAACGACCTGCTTCAGTAACAAAGCAGTTGTATTCACAGATTAATTTCTGTGGTCTCATTTGCTTTATCTTTTTCTTCCATCTGCCTGTTTTCAGTTTTCACTTTCCAACTTTTTCTGTGCACTCCATGCTAACCTTAACTCATACCTTCTATTTTCCTGCTAGGCCTCATTAGCTTGTGCCTAATTGGCTCTTTTCGCTTGATTTTCACTTCTTTTGGTGCCTGCTTTCTTGTGTATTGCAGCCTCCTCTGTCTGCCTCTGTCTTTGATAGATATTAGAACTGGAAATTACTGAAGAAAGGTGCTCTGCTCTCAACCCACTCTCTAGTCCTGTAAGGGTTAGAATCAGTAACTCAAAGAAATTGAATGTCATTCTGTCAACCCTGGGCATTATCAGTCATCCATATACTGCCTTGGAAAGGAATGGAGCACGTTTCCTCCCAGCACAATCTTGGGAGATTTTATCTGTTAGACTTAAAGGCAAAAATGGAAGATAGCAAACTGAGGATTTTTTGTTTTTCTTCAAAATTTCAAAGCTTGTCCATATTTAGGAAAGCTTCTTGAAGATGATAAAAGGATGCCTGACATGGGCCAAATTTACCTTGCTCTCAAACAGGGAACACTAGGGTATTTTTTTAATTATTATTTTTTAAAAAGTCCTTATTTTCTTCTCATTCTTGGTTGTAGCACAGTGATTTTTTGAAACTTAAGCAAAAAGAAAAATCCTTCAGTTTGAGGCAGAGTTGCTACTGACTTAAGCTATAACAAGTGATTTTAATAAAGTAATAACTCCAATCTTTGAATAGAGTAGCAGGTGATCCAAATAGAAAGTACTACCAAGATCTTTCATAACTCAAAGTATTTCTCTATTTGTTCAGATTAATGAAAACATAAATATAGCCTTCTTTCCTCTCTGGTCTGGACTGGAATCCTACCTTTTACACCTTGATGCTCTGTGTAATAGCAGAATGTCTCATCTTGAAGTACTAATGGGGAAATTTGTAGCTCTGTAAATCTCTGTTTCTGTTATGCTATCTGAAATTGTAAATATGTCACACCCACTCTCCCCTGTTGCACTGCTTGTTTGTTTGTTCTACTCTACTCCTATTCAGCAGTCATCCTTTCTTCTTATACTTCTTGTTTTGTCTCGGACTTTAATGGTTTGGAAGGTGAAGGTCAAATTTCAAAGCTTTCCAATCATTCCTAGCTTTGCCTTCAGTTTTTCACAAGACAGTGTTCCCAACTTAATTGACTTAATTAAGAGTTGCTCGTGTTTTTCTTAACTCCTCTTATATTATCTAATAAAACATGAAAAGCACTTACTGAAGTTTGACTAAATAGAGACACCAGTTTTAGGTTTAATCGGGGTTTCTACTTCATTCTTTTGGGACTATTTTTCTTGACATTTTGGTATTTTTTTCAGAAATTTTGCCCAGATGGGTTCTTTGAAACTATTGGGAAGTTCATTCTCTTCTGAAGTTGTTAAGTAGAAAGGCAATGAATTTAAGCACAATATTACACAATCCCTTTGATCAGAGATTGCAGATTTCTTTCTTTTTTTTTTTCCCCCAATGTTTCAGATAGGCCTGGATGTCCTGCTCAAAGTTTAGTCAAAGTTCAAATCAGACCAGTTCATCTTAGGTTGTGAAAGGTGCATTTTTTGTATCTTTTGTTTTTGTGTTTTTGTTGCTGTTGTTTTTTAAAGAAACAACGTGACAATAAAAAATGGTCCCTATCATCCTGCAAATGACACTGCCAAACACTGCCAAAACCGAGGGGCTGGTGGAACTGTTTGTGTTTCTCAGTCAGCACTTTTGCAGAGATGAGTAAGCTCAGATTTACTAAGGTCATAGGCAGATGCAGAGAGTAATTTAATTTGGAAGACTCCTGGGAAAGTCACGTGCAGTTCAGCCCCCAACTCAAAGCAGGACTGACTTTTAAAGATAGGTTCTGTAACCTGTCGAGGGCATCTGGTCAAGTGCTGAACACCTCTTATTCCGGGTTTTCCCCCATCCTATATCCAACTAGAGCTTTCCTTGTTTCTTCTACCTGTCCTTTTTCATTACATCTCTGTGAATACAGTCTGCTGGTAAGTTTTCTTTAATATTGTCTCCTTCTATATAATGAAAGATGTTGGCACACAGTATTACACTCCTAACATGAAATGCTAGGGACTTCACCAATGGAATTAATAACCCTAATAAATCCTTATAAGTCATCTCTAACTAGCAAAAGGCTCCTACAAATAATCATATTGCTCCTAAGTACTTTTGTCCCCATTTGTCCCATTTGGTACATCCTTTCCCAAATTTTGTATTTCTAAAATATTTTCCTAAGTAATCTTGGCCATTATGTCGTTACTGATGTACTTAGGTCCTGATGGACTTGCAAGATTCTGTCCCTTGCAAAAGGTGCCCTGAAGTCTTTCAGTTATCTGCTTCATAGTGGTTACATATTCTTTATTTTATACAGAGAGATGTGTCAGTCTACTTCAGTCTTGATTCCACTACCTATTTCAGTGAAGTATGCTTTATCTCCATCTGCCTTACCTCTTTCTCATTTTATACTAAAGTGGCACAAGTACCATGTTAAAGAACATACTGTTACGTGGTTGATTTGTTTTTGGGTTGGTTTGTTTGGTTTGTTTTTTTTTTTACTTTCTGTTTTCTTGCTCCCATAGAATCCTGTTTGACCTCCTGATGAGGTCCAGCTGGCTCTTAAGGAAGGAGGAGCCAGAAGCTGAATATAACAAAGCTGGCAGAGGCAATGGCCTTACCAGCAAGGGCACAGTCCCTTCCCTTTTTCATTTTCCTTTTTATCCTATTGTGCTGTCTCCAAATCTCCAGCCCCTTCCAGGGAAAGGGAATGCTCTTGAATCCCATATGCTGCTCTTCCTCAAGTGTTCCATAAAAAATTTCAGCTTGGTACATGCTAACAATATCCTCATTTTCTGCAGAGTCCCAGTCTTGTTACTGGGGTCCAGTAGTGCTGCAGATCCTCTAGCAAGCTCTTACAATGTCAGTTGTCCCTTACTAAGACCACATATTTTCTGTTCTTTGAAAAGATGACTGGAAGAAGAAGAAAAGCTGTTGAGATTCAACAGTGTTACATATGTACTCAAATGGGAAAGCTGATATTTCAGTTATATCATATATATATTGAATGTTAGTAGTATTTACTAATAACCAATTCTGACAAATATAAAAACTTCTGCAAGTTGCACTTACAATAGACTGTTTTTTTATAATGTGACCTTCTCTGTTTCTTTTAGTATCTCCTGAAGCAATTGGATTCCTGTCTGCAGTTGGGGTATTCATTATCCTCATGTTGCTACTTTTCCTATATATTAATAAGAAGATGTGTTTTGAAAATGTTGGTGGTTTCCCTGATCTTGATTCAGGATACCCTACGAGAAAGAATTCACAAGATAAGCTTTGTAAGTATCTGAAATAGAATGTACTGGACATCAAGTTATGAGCCTGAGAACATTTTTGTGGAAATACACAAGTAATCACTTGATTGAAGTGATGAAATAATGCAGTGTTGACTTTTCCCTGTGATTTTGCACTACATAGAGGGGAGGAAACCTTTGTAATCACAAACTGGAGAAAATCAACAGATTTATAACTAGAGAGTTCACATTTACTTATAGGAAGATACTTATTTAGTGCTGTGTGAATACCCTTGAATGCATTTTTAATATCATTTAATTGTGTAAATTAAATCTGAAGTAAGTTTGTGACTGGAATTTTTTTTTCCATTAAGCTTTTTTAAATCCTTCGCTGACTTTTTGTATAAGGTGTTTACTCACCTGGAAAATAATTTTAAAGATGTAAAACATCAGAAAATAAATCAATCAAGCTAATAAGTTTTTTCTATACTTTTAAAATATTCTCCTTGGAAATAGTATTGATAAATGAGAGAAGAGCAGACCTACTAGAATATATTGAGGGTTAGTAAAATAGCCCCGTCTGTACTTCTGGGCTGCAGATACAGAATTGGCTTTGTTGGCTGTCTTGAGTGGAAGATACAGGCACTAGAGAAGAGAATGGGAAATTTGAGGCTTTTTATCTTCTGCCTTTTTGAAAGGCACAGCTGAATTTTCGAGGTTTGGTGGTTTTTTATTTTTTATTTTATTTTATTTTATTTTTTTTAAGACAGAAGTAGTTGTTGCCCCTGAAAGTCAGATATTCTTTCTTAAATTTCTTTTTGCTGCAGAACAAGTCTTCATGATTTGATATATGTTATGTAAAACGCAACAATAATTTTTGGGGTCAGGAAGTCTCCGTGATGTGAGCTTTTATGCAAATAGTGTGTTAAAGGATTACTGTACTGTGAAAAGTGTATTGTTCTTGAAAGGGCATCATTAAATGTCTCACAACTTCTTCTTTGCAGGTTAGAATAAAAATACATGTTCCTTCCTCACACAGTTGTCTTACTTTTGAGAATAATGGATTTTATTATGGCTAGTTGATGCTGCAGATGATGAAAGACTGTCATTTTGCTGATTGATTATGGATTCATTTCAAGATATTTATTTATGCTGCTTTCTGATTATTTTCAATGCATATTGAATGGAAAACGCAAAGCAGCAGCCTCCCCTGGTAAACGTAGTGAGTTTGAGGTAGCAAAAGAAAATAGCTATGAAATAGAACTTGAAGAAATGGAGTTGATCTGTTTATGAAACAGAAGATCTTTCTGTGCAATTTTTTTTTCTTTTTTTCTGCTGAGTAGATTGGAAAAAATGGCATTTTTCAGAAACTTCCACCAAAATCTGAGCCTTCCTTCTGTGTCTTCTCTGGTGGACACTCTTAGCAGTGCTGTGGATGATCTGACCAGTGTTGTTGGAGAAGTTGGCTATAGTGTAGCTGATTCAGTAACAGAACAGGTAACAAACATGATAAATGGCCTTCGTGCAGAAGATGAGAGCTCCAAAATGCGGAATGATAAACCAGCACAAGATAGAGAAGAAAATGCACCATGGTTAACTGAGCCTAAGGAAATTAATATTAAAGCCAAGAGGGATATTGCAGAACAGAAGGAGATTCAGTATTCCAATTCCTTTGAAGACAGAAATCAAGATGGAGTATTCAACCATGTTGTGGGTGAAAACCAGCACCTACTAAAAGGCAAAGATAGTGATGATTGCTTAGAAGATACAGAAGTACCTTGGGATTTTAAGAATGCGGGAAGACCTCTTAAGAGGGAAGCAGTAGGAGGAAATGACTATTTTGAAAATGATAAGTTACTGAAGGATAGTAGCCTGAAAAGTAGTAAGTTTACAATGCAGGAGTCTATTGAGAATCAAGGCAGTTGCCTACATACAATACCTAATAATTCTAAGAATCACTGGCATAACAAAATCAAGCCATGTTCTCATGGAATTGATTGTAATGACTCTGAAGAAGTGCATGGTATGAATGTTCCTCGAGATTTAGAAACAAAATTTGTTGAAGTACAGAAGCAAAAATTATCAGACTCCAGTTTGAAGATACACAATAATCACCCCAGTTGCATTAATGAAGTCAAAGAGAAGTCTGAAGCCTTTTCTGACAGAAAAGAAAAATCTGAAAGTGATGCGTCACCTACTGTTGCAAAAGTAGGTAACAAGAAAAACTCAAAGAAATCAGAAAAGAAATCAAGAGGGCTGTGTAATAAGAAGACAGCAGGAAAAGGTGAGAAGTCTGTCAGGAAACTGCATTCTTCAGCCTTTCCTGAAACTTATGATACTTCCTACTTTTTTCACCTAACTTACACATTTCACTTTAATATTGATGTTTCCCATGGATGAAAGTAGATCTGTTTTGTCAGGGGTTTATTCTCTAATTATATTGATATCTCTTGGAAGTTAATTGCTCTTCAAGTATTAGTCAATGGAACTGATTAACAAAGGTCTTTCCTATATTCTAACTTTTTCTGTATACAGTTTGTCTTGCATTTTCTCAGTTTTCTTGTGCGATTTCTGATGAAAACTAGGGATTAATTAATACTGGAAATTAAGACCTGTTCTGTTGCACAATTTGTTTTGCATATTTTAAAAGCATTGCATAAAATGTGAAAAGATGACAGAGGGGAAAAATTGAACTTCTGTTACATTGGCATTATACTGGATCTTCAGAATGTACTTCCAGCAAACGTAACATAATTTTGAGGCAGAATGAATGACAAGTGGCAATTAAGTGATTTTAAGTCAAGAAGGAACTGAGCAAGGCTTGTCTTAAAGAAAGTTATAGTCTTACAGAGAAAACCTGTATATTGTTGATATGGATGCTGTGTGCTGTCTTCAACATCTAATTTTAAACAATATGATGAAAGGGCTGTGATGAAAGCTCACGAGCAAGAAGTGAAATCTTACATTTTTACAAAACTCTTTTACAGGCCGTGCAATGAAATTTTAGAACGGAACGTAAAATGTCTGGAGATGTTTTAGTGGAGAAATGAATAAACTGATCAGGAAAGGTTTTTCTGGTGTGTGTTTTTTTTTTGTTTTTTTTTTTTTTTTCCAGTGTATGTTTGTTTCTTTGTCTGAAAACTTCAGCTATTAATTTTTTGTTTGCTTGATTTAGTAGGTGATTAGTGTATTTGTATGATAAACTGTGATGTTATCTGTTGATATCTCATGAAACAATGTTTGTGAAGTAGTATGTTCTCTATTGAAAGTTGCCTTTGCTGTAAATAAATAGGTTGTCGATAGTTTAATAATGGTATATGTACTATTAGCCAAATGAATGAAAGTCTTTAATAAGAATATGCAGTCTATTTAGGCAGCTTTCCAACTAAGATAAAAATTGTAGGACAAATGGCAAGGAGAGGCGTAAAACCTGGAGGATTTTTTATTTTCATGTTGCAGTGAGCTAATTTTTTTTTTTTTTTTTTTTTAAAGAAACTGAAACAGATCTGCATTGTTTATTTAAAAAATGGTTCCATGAATAGCTTGTGTCTTAACTCTAAGTGGGTTTTTAAGTCCTCTGAAGAAGTCTTTTTGCACGTCCTGTGTTAGTAGTGTACATCCTCTCTTTTTTTTGTTCTGTTATGCTGCTAACTGGAGGAAAAAGTTACTGGTATCACTGATAACCTCTGGATGCTTACAAGCTTTGATGTAGTTTTAGTGGTGTATCTTTCAGCTCTTGTTTTGAATATGCCACTAACATCTTTTAAACTGTTCAATTTTTGGTACTTTATTTTGACTAATGAACCAATTTTCATATTTGCAAATACGATAAATGATGTACCTGATACTGATGACTGGCATTATGTCTGAGTCTTGGCATGCCCTGTTTTACTTACAGCAACGGAGATCCTCATGAGAGTCATATGAGATACAAGATTTTACTCTGTGTAGCATTGAAGGAGGTGCTTTCTTCTGAGCAAACTGGTAGTGGATCTGCCAGCTAGAATATATCCAGCTTGGAGTGTTATTCTCAACAAATGAACAGTGGAATGGAACTTGCTTATAGAGCTGTCCATACAGTGGGAATCACTGTACTTGTCAGACTTGAATTGAAATTGATAGCCTGAAGTCTTTTAAGGCATCGATTTTCCAACAAATATTGAATTAATATATATACATTATATGTGAAGTTGGTGGCACCATCTGCAGTTAAGGTTTCCTGACATTTTCCATTTCATGACATTACTTCCAGTTGCTTATAATTATGTTCCAGATCTGAAAGACTTGGGGTGAAATTTGGCATGCTTTCTCTCCGAGGTGAAGCTGTTGGGCTTTTTGTGTGTGTGTGTGTATGTGTTTGTGTTGATTTTTGTTTTTGTTGTTTTCTAATTTTGCTTTGCTTTGAGAGCCATAGTTGAAATAATTTAGCTGTTTCCAGTATGGAAAAATAGCTTTGGCACTCCTGTATACTGTATGACTTGAAATGTGGGAATTTACTTTTCCTGTATCAAAGGCGAATCTCTGGGAAGTGATCTTGTTCATCTACTCTTACAGGCTTTGATAAAAGAGGGAAGGAAGAACCTTTGTGGTAGGAAAGAAGAGTAAAAAGTTTGGCTGTAAAAGAGGTGTAGATGGCTAGTGCAGGTTGAATTAGTTAGGTTTCAAGTGCCTGAGTTCTGAATAAGCTGAATCTCTTTGGTTCAAATGCACAGAAGGAGGAGAGAGACTGGCTGGTGGTGAAGACAGGAACTAATGGGAGCTGAAATGGGGCTGGACAAGGGCTAGGAGGGGGGCATAATAGGAGGAAGGGGAGTAGCTCATCTTAGTAGGACCACATATTAAACAATATCCCTTGAACAACAGCACTATGGACATCCTGGTGTTCTGTATTCAGTACGTAAAGAAAATCTTTGACAAATCCTATACTGTAGACTTTCTCACATAGAGTGGTAATACTGAACATTACTGAGCTTATGTGTGCACTTTCAATGCCTGTTAGAATTTGAGATCTGCAGAACTAAGGATAGCATGTCAGATTTGTACAGAACCCATTTGAAATTTGGAAAAGGGAGGAGGAGACTTTCCTTTACCGAAGTAAAATACAAGCACTAATTGTGAATTCTAATTGTGATGGAATCTCTACTTGAGAGATGTAGCTGGATGAAGTTGGCCACTGGCATGGGCACTGTAGTGAAACTGGAATAAGAAAATTAACTAGGCAATTTCCTCTGAGCACCTTTAGCTGTTGCCCAGTGTCTTAGAATCTGCTTTAATTTCAGTTATTGAGCAAGGGGCTGTTTATTGTAAGTTAAATAAAATCGTGCATGCGAACGTCTGTTACTGACATTTTGCCATTTGTTGTCATGAGTTTAAGCATTACTAACATAAATATCCTAAAATGGCTTTGTTGTAGGCTTTGTAAATCATTTTCATTTCTATTTCATACTGCATTCTCACAGAAAAACTCAACTGGGGATGGTGCATCAAAATTTGCCTTTTTTGATAAGTTAGGTATCCAAATGTGATAGTGAAGAAACCTTGAATTTACTTCATGAAAAACACTTTGATTATTTTCTTCCTTAATGGAGAGTTTCAAGAACTTCAGTGTATACTGCCTTACAAAGATGGATCTGTTTTCTACTAAATATATTTTCAGATAATTTGGAGGCTTAAAGATCTTTCAGGTTTTGTATTTAAAAAAAAAAAAAAAAACCCACAACGCCCTTAAATTACAAAATCATGTAATATGTCAAATTACAGTGAGGTGATATTTTTTAAAATATTACAAAATTTTTAATTGAAGTTTCTTAAATATCTTCAGTGATAACCACTTATGGTTATTTTCTTGTATTCTGTTTTGAGCTGTAGTAGATTTGCTGTATTTTATTCAAACAGACAACTCTTATATGAGTAAAGATCAGCATGGTTCATCATCTGAGAGTGAAGATGAAGCACTGGGTAAATATCATGAGGCCCTGTCTAGAACCCAGAGTTCCAGGCTGCCAGTGGTGGATGGCAGACAGCAAAAAAACTATGTATGGGAAACCAGGCAAAAATATAGCCCCCTGTCTGCAGAATATGATGGATACAGTAGTGAAGCCTCAATAGATGAAGGTAAGATTGATTTAAAAGAATTCATTTTATTCCAGATTTCAGAATTACGTTTTTAAGTTTAGACAGAAAAAGCTTGATTTGCAAATAATCAATGTCAGCAAGAAACATTCAGGTATCTTTTGTATTTATGCATGCTCCAAAAAAAATTAGCACAGAATTGTTTGCACATTTCCAGAAATACTGCAAATGATATAATATCTTAAATGAAGTTTTGTAGAATTTTATTAATAGTCATCAAATTCTCTGAGGGATTTACTTTAAATTGTTTTTTGTTTAGGAAGGAAATGGGGGTACTCTTGATGGATTCAGTGATATTATCAATAGCTGATATGCCTTTCTTCATAAGCTGTCATAACAGCAAGTAAACTGAGTTGGTTATTGGTTCTGGTGCACATGCATATTTCACTATCAAGTAATGGAATGCTCTTCATCTTTTTTATTGAAATCACAGAAAGAAATGATTTGATTAATCTGAATTTTCTATGGAGGTAATAGCTCAATGTAAACAAAGGAATGTTTTCTTTTGTGTTACATATCTTAAGATTTTAACTGAGTGACAGCAACTGCCTGATACAGAGGTTGAAAAATCTGCTATCAATATTTAATCAATATGCTTCTTGTGCTTGAAAATAGCTGCATGGGAGAACTGTATCTGTAGTCATTTTCTAATGTGAAAACTGAGCTTAGTTAAAGGTGTTCATAAGTCAGGCTATAATATAGGTACTGTATTATGGTAAGGTAAGTGCTGGACTCCTTTCAATATGTTGAAATGCAGTGTGTTGTAGAGTGTGGTATTTTCTAGTAAAAAGTGGACACCTGTAATAAAAAAAGTCTACATTTAAACATTGCATCCAGTCCAGGAGAACTTGAAAAAAGGTAGACTTTATATTATGTATTGTAATTCAGTTATATAAAAGTTTGCTTGTCACTTGCTTGAAGTTTGAAATTAGCTCATGCTCACTCATGATTCCTGTGATTAAGACACAAAGGACATGGCATTCCTAGGCAAATAAGTTGCAGAATATGAAAATGATTTTCTGATTATGAGGATTTTCAGTTTTTTTCTTTGCTGTTAACTTGTAGGAAGGCAGGAGACAGCATTCCAGCAATCAGGGAAGGAGATGCGGAAGAGAGATCAGGTTATGGGGGCAACAAGCATGAGGGGATGATAGAAGTATTTTGCTTTCTGGGTGGGGGTTGTTTTCCTATTAGTGTTTTTTAATGCCCACCGATATCTATTGGCAGTACTGTTGAGATAAATGTGAAACATACTTTTACAGTTGATGTCCTTGTTGGTATAGAATGGTGATATATATCAGCAGGAGATGGAAAGTTCAGTTCTATTTATTAGATTCAGTAAGAATGCTTGGTTATCCAGAGTGAGGTATTTATCAGTTTTCAGACTGTTGAGGTCACTTGTTGAAATATTCATGCTTAAAGGAACGTGTGGCATTCTTCTTTGTATTTCACAGCTGTACAGAATACTGATTGTACGTAGTTCATCATCTCAGTGTTCCCACTCATCTGAGCTTTTCAGTTTGGCCCTGTTGAAGTTAAGCTCCAGTAGCATTGTCTTAGCATGTATCTACTTTTGTTGTGATGTTTAATATTGTCTTTTTGTCATCCTCCCACGTAGTCAAAATTCACACTCAGTGTTTTTGTCATCTTCTGGGGATTAAAAATTCCAGGCTGGAAATCTTTATTATAGTTAGACTGTAAGGCAGAAGAACCCTGTTGGCAAATGCAGCAGGAAACTAACAATTGTTTCACTCCTCTTTTTTTTTTTTTTTTTTTTTTCCCCTTTTTTTTTTTTTTTTTTTTTCTTCCTTCTCTTGATAAATATATCTTTTACCAGTTGCTATCCCTTCTCAACAGTTTCCATTCAGGAAGCTTGCTAGATGCAAAACTCATTGATAGATAACGTACACACACACACTTGCTCTAAAATTAGCATGTAAATTGAATTTTTAATAATGAAAGAACGGTGAGGGTTTGGGGAGGCAAAAAGAAGGAAGCAAAAGCTATCATAACTTACACCCTAACTTAGAAAATTGTACATTTTTAACCACATACTTGCAAACAGCTTTAGGACTGTCTGTATTTTACTTTTGCTGCTTCTTGGTAGCATTCGTTCTCTTCCAACGTCAGCAGTATTATCTGATTGCCTGCAATCATTCTGCACTTGCAAAAATCTGTGCAAGATTGCTTTCAAAATGCTCTCAAATGAGGCTGATGATTGTGACTCGTTTTTGGAATCATTTCATCTCAACAAAAGATGTTTGATAGTATTTAAAAAATAATAGTGTTGCGTGGTATTGGGCTTGGCAACAAGTTAACCAAATATTTTTCACTTTTCCGTGACCTGAAGGTGGCACAGTAATTGGTGTATTTTTTTGTTGTTCGAGTCACACACCAAGAATCGTTGCACAATTATAAAATTTAAACACAGCTAGACTGAAGTAGGCCTTGATGCCAGAGTGTAGCCAGAGTAGGCCTTGTTGTGTCAAGCACATAATGGAGGAAAAGCTGCCCAGCCAAGGACTTGAATGAAAAGAAAGCATGCAGTGAAGAAAGAAGAAAGAAGGAACTGACCAATGCTACCAAGGAGTTCATATGTATTCAGAGAAACACTTTATGTATCAGATGAGGTTAAAAATCTCTTGTTGCAAGTGGAGAGCATCACCATTTTCAGTGTTTTCATGTAATTTTTAAAAATTCAAAGTTTTATTGTTTCTTAAGGTTGTAGCTTAAATCTATGAGATTTGATGCCGTAGGAAACTTGAAATTTTTCATTAAATTATTGTATTTTTATAAGAAGTTTAAAGACAAATGATAGAACTATTTCTTTATCTGCAATTACAAGAAAAGCAAAGTTTTCTTATGTACTTTATTTAACATGAGAAACAACAGCCAGTATGCGTGGTGTCTGCAGTCTTCTGTTTTGTCATATATGCTTAATCATTTTTATTTCTAAGACTCAAACATTTAAGCTGCACTGCCAACCAAAGGCACCAATCATTCTGTTTGCTGACCAGGGCTTGATAATACTGCAGTAGAGTATTACAAACTTTACAAAGGAGTCAATGTATTTTTTTCTGATTTTGCAGTTTATTGTGCACAGTAATCTCCACTTTGAAAGCCTGATAATTTTTTTAGACATGCCTGCACTTAACAGTGCACACACAATATTTTACATGAGACAAAAATATAATCTTGTCTTTCTTAATACACCTTGTATTAAGAACTTTCCTCACCTTGCTCAAAACATTTCTAATGTATACCACCACCATGTCCAATCACATTATTTTAAAATTCACTCACTATCTGTTACTTCACTGCATGCATTTTCTGTCCATGTATCTTTATAAAAATGTCTTATTCTGAAGTCTGAAAATGTGTAGCATGCTTTCACATCATTCTTTTGTCCTCTAGATGGCCGTATTAATCTTCCTTTGCAACTTATTTATTTCAAACTGGCATAGCATTTTTTTAGATCTTTTACTCATTAAAGTAGGAAAGCAAGATAACTTGAGGGATTTTTTGTTGTTGTTCTAGGAGTGCTGTAGACACTCTGTTTCAAAATTTCTCAGATACCTGCTTATGTTCAATTTCTGAACCACTTTATATATTTATATATAATGGATTTGATTTGTTTAGATTCTGATGAGTTTTAATATCTCTTTTAAGTAGACAAAAAAAAAAAAAAAAAAGTACCCAGATGCAAGTATTTCTACAGATTTCAAACTATTCAAAATGTTTGTTTCTTGCTCCTCATTGGCAAACTTACTTCTATGGTACACATAGAAAAATAAAATGGTTTAGAAAATATTTGTGCAAGAATCAGGCACAGCCTGACTCTGAATTGTTAATCACAGTAAAGAGAGAAACCTTTGTAACTACTATATTTCTTTATTTATATGTGGACTTTATCCAGTCTTTGTGCTTAGGCATAGAATTCTAGGGTTAGCAGAAGGTCAAAAAATCTTATTCTTTTCAATAATATTCTTTGTGTTCTTCATCTTATACAATAAATTATAGATATTGAAGTGATGTTTTTCCTCTTACATCCTGTTTATCCTAACCTTTCAGATGTAATCATCATGTTGAATATAATATAGGATTAATGTAGGCTATGATGTTACACATCTCCTTCAAACAACAAAAATAGGGGGGGAGAAAAGTGCCAAAATAACTGTAAGTTATTTCTGCTAGCTAGGAGATTATGACAAAATGATGGTCTAAATAAGGAAGTGCATTTGTTTACAAACTTTTCATTTGAAGTCATTAGTTTTTTGGGTTTTCTTTTTTTTTTTTTTTTTTTTTTTTTACTTTGGCAACTTTAGTATCTGTACCGATATGATCTTAAATGGACCATGCTTTCCAAATAGTTTCAATTTCCACAGCACTTTACAGTGTGATATTAAATGAGCCTCTTTCTCTCCAAAGTAGTGGCTACTTCCTGAATTTCACAACTCGGGCTTTATATGAGCAAATTGTTGTGTCTTTGTTATCTCTACAGCTTAATAGGCAAGTACAATGTATTTTCTTTAAGGAAATAGTCTCTTAAATTCCTTACAATTGAAACTTTTAGGGGTGAAAGTGTTAGGGTAAATGTATTGAAATCAGAGTTTTGTGGGCAGATGTCAAATCTGAAAGCATGTCCTGCTCTTTGCTGTGCAAAATATTTAAAGTCAGCAAGCAGATCAGGGAAATTGATCCCAGTTCTGAAATAGAATAACTGACATTGTGATAGAAAAAGTGCAAAACTTCCTTTGCAAACTTAAATGTACTTTACTTAGTTATGTATTACCTGCTCAGTGCAACTACAGGTTTCATCTTCAACCTGTTTTGAAGTCTTTTTCTGACATCTCAATTGATAAAGCCTTGTGGCTGAAAATGTATTTGTTCAGAGGCTCTATTTCTGAGAATGGCCCAAGTGCCTTACATTTCTCAAGGTTTTTAGGAAACATATGGAAGCACTAAAAGACTGCAGTGAGAAA